ATGGGATCTGTCTATTTTATTTGTTTGTAAAATACACGCAAGTAACGAGAGTTGAGGAGAGTAAGCAGATGTGAGAAGAAAATCCCGCTCTCCCATATTTTATTTTTTTTTACTTTGCTGTGCAACCCTTACCTTACCGGGAGAAACAAAGGAGACTGTAGAACATTTTGCCTTTTCTGCTAGGTGCCATCCCTCCCCTATTTCTATGTCCACACCAGCTGCCATTTTGCTTCCCCATCCCCTGCATGGTCAAGTGGTTTTGTAGCAAGTAACAGTGATTCTCTCCCAACTTTTGCACACAGAGGATTAACCTGGTGACAAGACAAGACAGTTTTTGCCTTGAATCCTTTTCACCTTGTCCCCTTGGAGCTGTATCTTTTCCCATCCTCTGTGAACCCCATCCACATGCTCTTCCCTAAACCTCACTCTGCCTCTCTGGTTCTGCTAATTGCATGCAGTGCATCTACACAGGTCTGTAATTCCCACCTCCATGCCAATCACTTTTCAGCAGGGTTTCCTGAACTTGTGCATTTATGTTTTACCTGACTTTTTGTCTCTGACTCTGCTGTTTCACTTTCTTGTTTCACAGGTGTGGGAAGTGGCTAAACCTTACATTGAAAAGTACAGGAGGGAACACATCCCTGAATCGAGACCCATTTCACCAACAGCTTTCTCCCTGGGATCGCTGAGAATGAACACAGATGTTAGTCATGGCCACATACATCAGGATGACCTTTAAGAGTTGTGATCCTCTGGTGGAGAGCAGAGACTTGCCTGAGGGTGACTGTTTTACTCAAACTCAATGTGGTTTCTCCACGTGACCCAGAGGACCTGACTGTCTAGCTCAGGAGCACATAGAGATAGTAAAAAAATGGCTCACCGCTTTCCTCACATATGAAAGACAACTTTGTCATGGTAATGTGTTTTTGACTGAATTTCCTGAACTTCTGAATACAAATCATCAAGACTCATGCTGAAACCAGTGGATATTTTATGCAGGGCCTCCTGTATTTGTTTTGTCAGCTCTTTGCTTGTTTTCTCTTCATCTGTGCCAATGATACCAAACAGCCTAAGCCTGATATTCTCGCTTTTGTTTTTTTTTTCCCTTCGGGTCACTGCTGTGATCCCCTTCATTTTACCACAGGCAAAATTGTCTTTCCACTTAATTCTTCTCTGTTTTGCAGATCATATGTGAGGTACAGGTTCTTGTATAACAGGAGCATTTTTAGAACAGGTGCTTCACAAATCAAAAAAGCTGTGTGCTTAAAAATGTGCTATGGAGCTCATTGCTCCAGAACAAACATATTATATTCTGGTGATGGACTATACTTAATGGAGCTTTCCAAGAGCTGTGGGCTCACACCTGCAATCAATAAACTGAGGCTTCATGTACGGCTCTAGCATTCTATTTTCCTGTCATGTGCAATGATGAAAATGTAAAGCAAAACTTTAATTTGGAAATAAGGAGGACAGGTGAAACAGGGGCCAGGAAAGGGGGAGGATGAGGTGTAGGAGTGGTGGGTGTGAACCAGTGCTGAGGCAATAACACCAAGACCTACATTCCCATGGCTCACTAGGTTTCAGCTGGCTGCTGAGGGCCCCATCCTTACAGACAGGCTATGACATGGTGTGCTCTCTGTTACAGCACTGACCTCTGGCACAGGCTTTATTTTGCAAAGGAAGAGTCAGGACACAGATTTCATGTCATGGTGCAGTGCTGACATGGCACTGCTGACCTGACCGTGGTGCACTTGCCGTGCGCTGGAAGTCTTCCTAGGCTATGCTGCAAGGGGCAGCCAAAGCATGAGTGTGGGGACTACTTTCAAGTGCCTGAGACCTGCCATGTTAAATGTGCCCTGAGGAGAGGACTCATGCCTGTTGGCAAGCTAGCAGGGAGACATCTAACCTGGCCAGAAGACCTGGGAACTAAGGCATTCATGGAACATAAGCTCCCAGTTCAACTCCTTCCTTCTGCACCTGATGTGCAGCATCTCCATCCTGTCTTGTGCCAAGAAAGTCCCTACCCTTTCAGCTCGAGGCCCTCTGTAGCAGGCATATCTCAGTCTCCCCTGAGGCTGTTTAATTTTGTATGAAATCAGCTATTAATTAAAAACAAGAGTGAGAACCAACAGCCAGGCTTATATCTTGTAGGGTCAGCCATTTGTGTATTTTGGCTAAACTATTCGGTTCCTTCAGCAGCAAAACTGGCAGAAGTTCCTACATCCATGTTACTTATATCCTGCTCCTACCTGTTGTGGGAGCCAGCACTGAATGCCATCACTGAAGTGAGCCACCTTAGAAATTAAGCTCTTCCCATGTTATGGAGCAGTGGAAAGCCACTTCAGCCAGCTATGCCCCTGAAGTATGACCACAAGCCCTAACTGCTAGCCTGACACTAATTACAGCCCTTGGACACACTCCCAAATGGCTACTGGATTCAGCCAAGCTGGTTAGGCAAGCACATGGTTTGAGGTTCCCATCAGAGCTCATGCATGAGAACAGAGTCCCCTCATGTCAGTAGTTTCAGGCCATGAATGCTGTAAGGAATTAAAGAATACCTTGTCTGTCTCAAACACTGTTAAGCCACAAAAGGGATTTTCTCTAAGACCTGCTAGCCACCAAGGCAACAACTTGAGATAAGCACAAAAGAGATGAGTTTGTGCTAATTTCCAGGCCTGGTGGAGGAGAGCTGGTTAGCACATCCTGATTAACGTATCTAAACAAAAATCCCCACTGTGGCAAACTGCATATACATATCAAAGATCACCCGGGACAGGCAGCATCTGCAACCACCAGACCCCCCACCCCAGGCCTTCCTTGCTTCATGTGGAAATTAGGAATACACCTCCACAGAGAACCGGAATTTGGACTGTATAGAGCGGGGTACCCTGAGATAAGCCACTTGGGACCTCCACCATCAAGATGAACAGCTTGGGACCCCCACCATCGAGAAGCCCAGGGTGAAGAAGGACCAACAGGACACCACTGCATCCACAGGTGGTGACTATCTCTCCTTCCCATCTCCCTCCCCTTTCTCTCTCTTCCCTTCACTTTCTTTTCCCCCCCTTTCCTATTTCTTTCTCATAATTCTAAGCAAATAAAACCCTTATTATTACATTATTAACATATTATTGCCTTTTGGCATATGGTCTCGTTTGCATCTTAATTTGGGCAGAGGCAGCTCTCACAAATCAGATCCTAACATTAAACTGGTGTCACAGACAGGATTGCCCCAATTGTAAAAATATAGGTAAAGTCTCACTCCCTATTTTGACCTCGTTTGTGCCTTAATTCACATTGGGGGATGTGATTGAACACTCCCGAGTCTAATCAGACCAGGACAAATGCCTATTCTTGGCCAGCAAGAAAATATATGAGGTCTTCCTTTTCCAGTTTTAGGCCCCCAAATGCCTCAGGCACTTCAGAGAGGAGGTTCTGGGCACTGATTTCCTCTCACCTCTGCTTTTGGCTACCTGGGACCAAGGGACCCCAGTACGCACTGCAGCGTGGTGGGCTCGGCTGGACTGTGCCTGTGCAGGGCTGAGAGGCACAGCTCCTGCCGCAGGCTGCGTTTCAGAAATGCCTGTGCTTCTTCCCTGACAGCCTTCCCCAACTCCCTGCAGAAATGTTACTTATGAAAGCAGTTTTGGGCAGAATGTGCCATGAAATCACGTATTTGAGATGTTCTTCCAAGCTTTGTGAAAACTAAGGTCCACACCCATATCTGGTACAACATCTGTTTGCAGGAAAACACGTTAGATGGTGGGAATGTCATTATGCTGTTTGAAAAACTGATTTAGTTGGCTAGATTGGCTCAAATAAAGCATAAACAAAGATCCTATATGGGATGGCTTGCATATTTTGGATATTAACAAATGTGCCCAAGGCTAAGGGAGGTCATAATAAATCTCATACATGTTTGTGATGGCTTTCAAATATCTGTTAATCAGAATGACACTGTAGTTCTTCCTCAAAGGAAGCACTGTGCTAAAACACTCTGCTCTGTATCACAGGTTGTATCAATAATTATTTTTGATGCAAAGTTCTTCATGCTTGTCAGGTGCAGTTTTAGACTTTACCTTCAAAAAGCTAAGCCCTTTTGTTTTGCAGCCACCATCCATTTGAAAAGTTAAAGAAAGGCCTCAGTTTGTGTGTATTCAGAGACTCCCTATCCCAGACCCTCTGCTTAAACACTGCAACAGCTTAAACTCTCCAGAGCTATCATCCTTTTTTTTTCTACATAAAACATCCCCAGATGATGGTACAAGGGAAAGAATATAGTAGCTGAAAGAAAAACAGAAAGACAGCCTTGAAAAAAAATCATGTTCCTACGTTCTGACATGGTTCATGGAGTTGTCATACTTAACTTATTAGGATCACATTCAAAATTCCCAAGACAAATGTCTCACATTATTTCAGCTTCAGCCTAGAATAAATGAAATCAGGTCTCTTTTGGAACATTTGTATGACATTGCATGTGATCTTCTTTCAAATGTCAAGGTAATTGAAAATTTGAGAGGGTGATTGTACCCCCCAGACCTCACTGGGCTAACTCCCTCTATGAGTAAACTGCTGTGGCCTCCCAGCACAGCCAAGGGTCATTCCAAACATGTGTGCCTGAGCCCCTGGCCCTCCAACACAGGTTGTGTAACATCGCACTTCCCAGTGAATCTTACCTGGATCCAAACTTTGCTTATTCCTTGCTGGCTTGTTTGGGTTATTTTCAAATAAAATTATTTTTTAGATTAATTGTATAGGAAACCATTTTTGGAAGCAGTCATATTTCAGATGGATACAATTCGAAATTATTTTATTGCAGTAGAGAGAAAGACAACAGACATGAAGATGCACCAAGTGGGTAATGCTTGGTAAAGTTTATTTGAATAGAGTAAGGTGAGCAGGCAAACAATTTACTGGTAAATACAAATCTGATTTGTCTGTTGCTTTGAAATACTCCATGCTAATTTGGTTTTAGTAGCTTTCTAAATTACTGTCTTATCTCAGTAACTGCTCATTTTCTCACACCTCTCATTTTGATAGATGACTTTTCCTTTAATGATAACATAGTTGATCAATGCTTCGTGTCCCCCAAACTGGTAAATCAAGTGCTCCCACCTAAAAAGACAAGATGTTTAAGAATATATAAACTCGCACAAAAGCAGGTCACAAACCCAGTATGCCTGGCAATGTAAAAATATTTGCTTGAAAATGGGAAAACACAACTCCACGTCTACATGTTGACTCTTCCTGCATGAATACAGTGAGTTGATACACAAATCAGCAGAGAATCCCTTCCACAAAATAAACATGTATGATCTTTAGATAATTTATAATTGGCATGGATTATTTGTAGTATCAACCCCAGAAGTCTTAGGTTTTATTTTCCACTGGAGTGCTTAAGGACAATGAAAGTGAGCCTGAAATGCTAGCAGTGTCCCTTTTTTCAGGTGAAGATAATTTTTCCATTATCAGAGAATCATAGAATTTAGGGGTTGGAATGGACATTACAGATCATCTAGTCCCAACCCCCTGCCATGGGCAGAGACACCTCCTCACTAGACCAGGTTGCTCAAGGCCTCATCCAACCGGGTTTTGAACACTGCCAGGGTCAGGGCAGCCACCACATCCCTGGGCAACCTGTGCCAGTGTCTCACCACCCTTAGAGTAAAAAACTTTTTTCTAATATCTACCCTAAACTTCCCTCATCCAAACATGGTGAAAAACAAAGTCCCAAATGTTGAAGCACATTTCAAATTACAATGGAAGAACAAACCTTGATGCATTTATGATCACAAGGTCCCCCTGCTTGCCGACCTCTAAGGAGCCGTGCGTGTCCGATTTTCCCAGGGCATAAGCCGCATTAATGGTAGCAGCTGCTAGTGCTTCATTCATCGACATCTTCATGTTTACACAGGCCAGATGCATCACCATAGGCTAGGAGGCAAGTTCAGGGGAAAATGGGAGATACCAGTAACACAAAGTTGTTTATGCTTCAAATCCCTAGGCATTTTCCTTCTTCCTTGCCCCACAGAAGGACTTGTCCTGCATGATGTAAATCTTGACAACTCCAAAATGAGAACTCCAAAATCAGGAACTTTGAGAGCTTTTTTTTTATAAGCCTCTCAGTGTGCATGAACAATAGAACTCCTTCCAGTTTCAAGAATTTCTGGCAAAAACTACCAGTACACACCAATAAGCGTGAGCAGCTGTCTGTGCCAGGCATACAGCTCTTTGCAGATGTGAAGACTGTTTTAAGTGTGCAAGATCTATACACAAGTTGTACTACTAAGAAATTTCATAATTTTTGGTGTCATAAGTATTAGGAATAGCTTACCATTGAAAAACAGTATGCATTAGGGTTAAAGTCACTGCCAAGAGCAACTATAACTCCTTCTTCCAACATTTTCCTAGCTTGAGGTTGCTTCAGCCTGGTGGGAAAAAGACACTTGTCAGTACAACTTGCTTAGTTATCATACAATGATTTAAAAGTGCAAAAGTCATCATTGTTTGGTTTGCCTACATTCATGCATTCAGTTACACTCATCCTTTTGGAGATGAAAGCCCAAATTCTCCTCCTGGTTTCCTACTTACTGCCCTCTGGGCAACATAAATGGGAAGTGTGATCCCCTGCTTTGGCAGTGGCAGTATCAGCTGGCAGGCTCCAGGTCACTGAAATTCTGGTATTTATCCAGACTTCAGCCACCTAAGGATTTACAAAGTGAAAAATTATTTCCCAAAAAACCCTTATTTTCTAAGTCCTTCTGCCTCAAAGACAGGCTGCCAAATATGAGCAGTGGGACAACCAATGCAATGGTCCCTTCCCAATTACTGAGTCTGTGAATTTAATCTGCATATACTAGAGAATCTTCTCACTTAGTAATTATAATGCAAAAGATATTTTCAATAACTTCAATAGCTGGAATAGCCATCTCAAAATTGTTCAGCTACTGGATTCATCTGGGTAGGTGTTTGCAAAGGTGGGCACTAGGAAATGCACTCTCAAAGAAGTTTTAGCCATAGTTGCTGTAAAGCCAATAGCGCCAAACATCATGTTCAAAAATAAATCAGTGTAACAATAAAAATGAAACATTAAAGCAACTGCTGCTCAAAAAGTAGTATTAAAAGCACTACAGTTAGCAGAAAAGAACAATACATGAGATCTCAATGAAGTGTTTATATTTGGTATAAGACAATCCTCTCCCTGTTGAAGCCTTTTAGAGATTTATGAGAATACACCACCTGTTCACGCACAACATGATGCTCTGGGAGATAACTGTGTTTAATAATATTTGAAGAGCCATTCCCCATCCTCATGTGTCCTTCCAGCTTCTGCACACTGCTACGCTTTGCAGCCAAGGACTGCAGGCAACTGCTAAAATCAGAGTGTACTTCCCATTAAGTAGCTCTCCAGTTGTACTCTCTGGCCCAGCCCTGGTCATCAAGTGAAGGTCAGGCAACTACTGCTTTTCTTAAAAGCAGGGGACAGTGTAGGGGCAGAGCCTTATGAGGTGTGAGCTCTCACAAGTGAGAGAAGGAGCTGAGGAGGCCAGCACAAGATCTATCACATCACCTCATAGCAACTTTTTCTCATACCTTGCACAGCTTTCAGCCCTCTCAACTCTTTTAAACAGTATCTCACTCATGACCTCTTCATTTCTAGAGTATGTTAGACCACGAGGCCTGTGTTCAGTAAATAGTGAACCAGACACTGAAACAAATGAGGCTTCATTTCCTATGGCTTGTTATAATCCCCATTTTAGGCTCATCCTGAGGTTATAAACTTTCTGCCACATGGAGTCTCTGGAGTAACACATGAGGTACAGCTGCAGTCTCTTCCACAGGTGGCTGCATCTCTGTTGTCTCCTTTACCTCTCTGTCTGGGATCAGTTTGCAGGACCACATGTCCTCCCTGAGATCTGTGCTCTGGTGGTGCATCAGCCAGTGGTTCAAAAGTACTGGTGCAGGACATGAGCAAGGAACCACAAACAGAAACACAAGCACAGAGAGCAGTAGCACACACCTCAATTTTCAACAAGTTGTTGAAAATAAAATCAGTGCAAGGACCTTCTCTTCACAGGAGAGAAGGTACTACTGGGTCATGGTCCTCATCATCTTATTTTTGGCATTAGGGTTAAGCTGGTGATCTACCTATGCTTATCTGTAATATCTGCATATGGGAGAAAGTGCTCTCATGGCAATTCTGCTCAGTGTCACCTGGGTAAAATCTGATGAGATTTTTTAAAAGGTTATCCACAGTCTTTCAGCCCCCTTTTGGGAACCAAAGAACTCACTTCCCAGCAAAACCTTCTGCAAGAGTGCAAATACATACATTGCAGATATTTGCCTGAAAAGAAGCCAACTCAGTTTTCAAAGTCTAAATGGATTAAAGAAAACCAATTCAGTTTCCTTCTTAAATGAATGCCTGATTATTACCTTAGCCTGCAATAAGGGTTAAATGCCAATGCTGACTGAACTGCTCCAGATCTACTTGAGACTTCTCAGAAGTGAGGTATCACCTTGTTTTTGAGGATCTCCACCAGAAACAAGACATAGGGAGACTCATTCATCTCTCTGTGCTCGTGATTGTCTTCACTGATCCAGCCTGATCCTTAGGCATAGATGCAGACTTATGCTTTTACATTAAAAGACTCTAAAACCACAAATATGGGTTTGCTGTTATGAAAGTTTCCCTCCAATCTAGTGGCCTTACCTTAGCATGTAAGCAGTTGTTGGTAAAAGGACAGCAGCGGACTCAGCTCTTGCCATAGCAGTGATACCTTCATCACTAACTTCTTCCAGGTGGCTGATAGCCAGGGCTCCTAGTTCAGCTCCAAGCTAAGTACATTTTCAGAAAATTATTCACTATTCTCAATCAATTCAGTAAAGCAAAGTTGTTTTCAAACAACTGGAGGTGACAATTCACTATTACTGTAAAATTTACCAGAAGAAAAATAATAAAGAATGCTTGAAAGAACAAACAGAATACAGAGACTGCAGGAATTTACTGCAGAAAACCTTGGTCCCTTTAACCCCCTGAGAGTGGAAGCATAACTTCAGTGGTGTTTTTAACAGCCTAACACACAAACTGTGGGACAGCTATGGATAAAAACATTATCAACTCCTGTTCATAATGGATCCACCAGAAAACGGTTGACAGAACTGATACGGGTTGCAGAACTAGTAGTCCAACTGCTGCCTTCAATGGGGAAGCCAAAAAGGCTTTTATGATCAATCAAGTTTTTGTTTCATTTTGGAGTTTTTTGTTAAGGACAGCAGAGAATAACTTGGGCAGCTGTCGCAGGAGGGAAACAACGTTTAAATGATGGTGAGACATGGTCTCAGAGTGACTTTTTTATCAAGACATTTGGGAACTTAGTCTTGACTAAACCATCCCTCTGAGTGTGCTCAGACATGCTGATATCAGAGTAATAAGACCTCTGAGTGTGCTCACTGCACATCTGACTTGTTGCTGCTAAAAGGACATTTAACAAAAAAAGATTTTTCAAGCTGCATAGAAACCATGTTTTTGTCATTCTTGGGTTCATGGATATCCACCTTTCCCATCTGTATTTCATGTGGAAGATAAGCAAAGTCAATGTTTGATAAGCCAGTGCACATTAGTCCCAGAGGTCAAGGCTTCCTCCCATGTCCTTAACAACAAAGCTGCACAGGGGCTGCACTTCCTACTATCTAATAGAAAGAGATGTCTATGAATGGTCTATTCTATAAAGTCTTAGAAAACCTCAGTTTTGAAAACTGCAGTTCTTTCAAAGATTCAGCTCTCACAAGAACAAAAATGACTTAACTGAATGCTAAGAAAGACATACCTCAGCAGATTTCATCGGATGGAGTTCATCACCATGGAAGTTAATCTGTAACCCTATATCTTTTCCAGCTTGAAGAATTCTCCTAGTAGACTCCAGATCAAAGACTCCCTTCTCACAGAACACATCTATATTGTCAACATGTATTTCACCACTTCGTTTGAGTTCTTTCAGTTTAGGGAGATGGTTATTGATAATGTCGTCTGTGGCTTCAGTAGCAGTTTTCCCTCTAATGAAAAGAAAATGTTATGGAGCCATAAGGGTAACATCCTTGAAGTCTGGCACACATTCAAGCCATACATGCAATTACCACAATACTTAGAAAATGATGCTAACATGAATCACTCAAACAGATTTTAAAAACAGTTAAAACTACTGTAATTTATGTACTCTCAAATATGAATTACTTTCTATTCAAAGCATCTTAGATTGTATTACTGTATATTTTTATAAGGTTGGCATCTTGGATGCTAACCAAGGCATGGAGTATTTTAAAACAAATTTTTCTGCTTTCCTATTCATATATTTTGATATCCTTATATTGTATTCTAAAACATAACCATTAAAATACGTAAATGACTATTTAAATATGTTAAGTGGCATTCGTACAGTGTTTTTATGCAAGTATCAAAGCTCAAAGGGAACATGTAATCATTTACCTCTCCTCCTTTTGTATCATTCAGAGTGACGGATAGGTAAGTGTTTCTAAATCAGAGGGGTCTCCTAAGGTCTAACTTGACAATGTCAGAACAATTTATCAACCCTCTGTTACACAAAGACAACTCAGGAGAGACCAGTAAATGCCTTTGAAAGAGTGAATAAGTCCAAAATATGCAGTTAAGTTAGACTTTTGCAATTTTAATACCTAAAGATAAGGGATGTAGAGCAGCTAAATGTCTGTGACATCCCAATCCACCTTTCAAGCACTGTAAGGTGTACAGAGACCAGCATATGAGTGCCACATGTGGGTGGGTTGGGGTTACATGATGGCAGTAAATCAAGAAGCCAAACTCTGACTGAATTTATAAACAAGGTTGTACAGTTATAAAGCAGAGCAGAACGGTGCTGATGGCTCTTTGTTCGTTCATCTCTCACTGAAACAGTCATTGGGGTTGTTCAGGCTTTGACCATGCCAAGCCTTCTTCCTTTTCTTCTTTTACTCAGCAGCTTTTGGAGGAATTGGAACTGAAAGATTAGGGCCAGAGCCAAGACAAAACAGAAGGAAACATTAAGCCTTGTTTTCACTTTTTGAGGGACATAATGCCCAAAAATGCAAAACACAGCTGCTGTTGTTTTAATGCAAGAGACTTCTGCTCAGGAAACCGCTTTGAAAATGTCTTCCTAAAGATGAAAAGGGCCTAGTGAATCTTCTCCAATAAATAAAAAATTAAATTTTTTTCAAAAATGATTTAAAAAAAAAGATATGAAGAAGAAAAAATTATCATACATCCCCCAAATAATGAACTTGATTCAATATGATGACTATTTCTTTAGAAGAAACCCTTCTGAAAATAACAGCCCATCTTCAATGCAAAGCAGTTAAGAGCAAGAAAAATCAAGTCATATTACTTGGGCACAGAATGAGCTCCACAGTATGTCGAAGAAATGCCAATATCCATGGATCGCTTAGCACGTTCAATCACCCTGAGCATTTTGAGCTCTGTTTCTAAGTTTAAGCCATAACCACTCTTGCACTCAACCAATGTAGATCCTGCTCTGAGCATGCGTTCGAGTCTGTGTTTGAAGGTATTGAATAGTTCTTCTTCTGTGGCCTTTCGAGTGTGTTCCACAGTAAAATGTATTCCTCCCCCAGCCTGGTGGATCTCCATATAGGATGCACCTGCCAACTTGGGGAAAAAAAAGAAAAAACAACACCCCCCCCCATACAATTAGCTATGAATTGTGCATTTGCTGTCCAAGAGATTATGGAAAGTGCCTTGGGATCTCTTTGCAGTGAGAGAGACAAAGAGGGGAGAAAAAACCCCACCTTAATTCTTCCTCCCTTCCCCTCCTCTTCTCCCTCCCTTCCACTTAAGTGAAGAAATGATGTAAGAAGTGACACAATGAGAATTACTCTGAAGATTTGCTTCCCCCTGAGCTCAAAGGGAAAATCAATCTCTAGCTCAGAATTCATTTATATGGGGAAAAAAAGGGGGGGAATCAAGATTTAGATGGTAATAGAAGGCAGCACTCCTATATTGCTTCAATTAATGCAAAAATATAACAAGGCTGGCTGCAAAGGATGCAGTTGCACTCCTCTCTCAGCCTACCAGTATTGAAAAAGCATCCCTCCTCCCTCAGCTAGATTATCTAACAGAAACAATATATTTTTCTCTAGAAGAAAGATGGGAACCACTAGAAAGTAGAAACAGTCATACATTTTTTTTAAAAGGAGGAAGAAAAATCCAGCTGTGTAATTTTATGCCATTACCTTCATTGCAAACTCATGAACCCTATCACCAGCCCACACTGGATGTGTATGTGCATCTACGAGGCCTAAAGAAAACAAGGTAAATATACACTTGAGTTACTTCACCATGTAAGAGAAAAGATTATCAACATGCAGGCAAATTAAATAGACAGCAGAAGCTACTCATAGCGTCTCTCTGGGTTAGAGAAAAAGAAAAATCCAATCAGCCAAAAACCTAGGATTTTCTTCAAAGGCTATTAATTTTCTTTCAATTTTTTTAGGTCTGACACCTTATGCAAAATGTCTCCAGGTAAACGCATTAATTGCTGAGATTTTCATGTTATTTTGATGGTGTTTTCAAACTGTGAAAGAAATTATAAATTACAAACTTTGAAAGATTTTATTAGACTTGAAGTCTGTGCTCTTCAAAAAAGGCAAACTGATTAGGCTGGTCTTAGCACACTAGCACTTCCTCTAGCAATAGTCCATTTACTACACTGGTAGCTGTTTCTATAAGCTATAAAACCAACATCACTGAATGCTCAAGGCCTTTATAAAAAAAGAGAGGTCTAACAGCTCATGTGCTAACACCATTTGTAGTCTGACATGCAATAGAGTTGCCCAAGTTCATTTTCTTATCAGGTAAAGTTGCAAAGCTTGTGACTTCTAAGTCCTTTTGCCTCCAACCAGCTGTGGGCAGGATGGAGAGACTGAGCTCCATGGCAGAATGGCCGGTGGGATGAAAGGGTACAGAAAAGGCAGGGGAATCTGAAAAGTCACTTGGTGGGCCAGCTACATTACTCTTCTGATCTATGATACAGAGGAACATGTGTAAAGATGAAACAAGAGGAGACAGAGCTCCACCATGAAATCCAAAAGAACCATCTCTAGTGCTGTGACGTTTTTGAAGCACACATGATGAGGATACTACAATACACTGTCACCAGCACAAGATTTTATCAAACCAGCACTGGATACAGAAAAAAAAGGATGGAGTGATGTTTAACACGTATGTACTTTGTCTCTAAGCACTTGCCACCGTTTGGCATACACAAAATCACAAAACGGGTAAGACTGGAAGAGGCCACAGTGGATCATCTGATCCAACATCCCTTCTCAAGCAGGGTCACCCTAGAGCACATTGCACTGCATTGTGTCCAGAAAATTCTTGAATATCTTCAGAGAAGGAGACTTCACAACCTCTCTGGGCAATCTGTTCCAGTGTATGGTCACCCACACAGTAGGGAAACTGTTCCTCATATTCAGGTGGAACCTCCTGCAGTTTCTGCCCATTGCCTCTTTGTCCTACTGCTTAGCACCCCCAAGAAGAGCCTGGCTCCATTCTCCTAACACTGTCCCTTCAGATACTTACATACATTGATGAGGTTCCCTCTCAGTCCTCTCTTCTCGAGGCTGAGCAGGCCCAACTCTCTCAGCTTTTCCTCCTGAGAGAGATGCTCCAGTCCCTTAACCATTTTTATTGCCCTTGACTGAACAGACTCCAGGTGCTCCATGTCTCTCTTGTACTGAAGAGTCCAGAACTGGACACAGTACTCCAGATGAGCCCTCACAAGGGCTGAGAGAGGGGCAGGATCACCTCCTTGACCTGCTGGCAATGTTCTTCCTTGTATCATTATGAAAAAAGCACACCTACCTGGTAACACGCACTTCCCAGAGCAGTCAATTATCCTTTCAAATGTTGCTTCTGAAAACTGATTGCGAATAACATCTGCCTGGCCCACAGCTTTGATACAACCATCCCTGCAAACCACAGACAATGAACAAAGGATGCATGAGCCTGTTGAAAAGTCAAATGCTCAATGAGAGAGCTCCTGGAGCAACAGGAGCAGGACCCTCAGCAGGACTGAAGACGCACACAGGAGGTGGTTTGCTCATTTCACAGATGCACAGGCTGTTTGCCATAATGTCACATCCTCCGCTTAGATCCCTCTGGACACTTTTAGTACTCTTCTGTTCTAATTCCTGATAGATAACACTATTTTTTCCCGGTGGATCAGCAAACACAAGCGTTCCTCCAGCAGGTATCTATCTGCAGGGCACTCTTCCCCTCCGTGGAAATCAAACTGCAATCACCTGGACCTGTACCATGCCCTGCGCCCTGGGAAGCTACATCAGCCTCCTCGGAGCTGATCTTTGGGTCAACTTTCTCCCGACGGAGTTTGAGGATGCTACCGGGAACTCGAGACTGCACTTGAGGTATCCCTTAGACCCCTGCACGGCGCATCTCCTCCCCGGCACTGCGCTCCGTGCCGCCCCCGCGCCCCC